TGGGAGGAAACAAACAGAGAAGGATAGGGAGCCTGATGAACAGAGAAGACAAAAAGGGAGCTGTCTACTGTTTCACCTGGTGCTGAGAGACTGTAGAAGGGGAAGACAGAATCGGCAACTGGACTTGTCAAGGTGGACGTTGCTGACCTTCTTAAGGGCAGACTCCATTGAGTGGTAGGAATGACCTCATCTGAGTGGGGGTCAAGGGAAGAATGAAGGTGGGCAGACCATATTTATCTAGGAACCTCACCCTAAGGGGCGCAGATGCAAGGAGAAGCAGCTGTGAGGGATGAGGGCTAAGAGGGACAATATTGAGATGTGTTTGTGCGGGAATGACTGAGTTGAGAAGGAAGGAATTCTTTACTGTAGTGGGAGCTCCACAGGAAATAGGGGGTGGGGTCCAGCCCAGGAGGAGACTGATCTGGCTTAGATCAGAGCAAGGAGGTCTCATCCGGACACAGGTGGGTGGGAGAGCTTGGGGTGGCAGGAGGTGGTAGTCTCATCTGATAACAGCCTTTGCCGCCTGTGAAGAGATCATTAGCACTGACAGCTTTAGGCATCGAAGAGTAAGTGAGATAATTTGTGTAACAGCTATGTGCTTTCTGGCGCTACCCTAGAGGCCTCATATCCAGTCTGTAGTTCTCTAGCAGTGGCCTGAGAATCTCCATATTTATAAGTGCTCTTGGTGAATCTGATAAGCAACCAGGCTTGTGAGCACTACAGGGGGGCTAACATTATTCTTATGGTTATCATTGTCATCCAAGACACCACCAAGGTGGAACTAGTAGCTTTATTGGTGACATCAGTTTGCAAGCCAGAAAGAGACAGTCTCCAGCGTGTACTGGAACTGGAGGTGCTCTCTCTTTGAAGAGGGTAAGGGCAGGTTGGGTTTTATCCTCATGTGACTTGTGTCACACAAGAGAGTCCCACACATTCAGCAAGTGTGGGGAACAGCTATACATCTTCATGAGAGTGGGGCCAAGTGCATACACAATGGATAAACATATCTGTAACATACCTCCCACGCCACTTTGGGGCATTAGAATGAGGTGGGAATTAACTCTTTACATCAAAAGGTGAACCATAGGACACAAAGTTTGTGCACAGCCTCTATGGGCTGCTGAAATGGGCTTCAGGTGGGCAGTAGCTTACCAGGAAAGCATGATTGTAAGGCCAGTCATCTGTTCAGTCAAAACTGTAGTGGTCTGGATTGTAAATCGGAGTTAGGAAGGGGCTGATCATTTGCCTGACAGCTCCATTTGTTAGGGAGTCCAGCAAGGGTATGGTTTTTCTTGTTGCTGTAGGAATTTAGGGAGTTGCCATGCTAGCTAATCTCTGAATCCTTGGCACACGGGTAACTTTTGTTTCCTTAACTTTAGGGTCCATCTTTGTTGATAAAAAGGCATCTATTTTGGTCTCTCAGATCACAGCATTAATCTTCCCTGAGCATCCAATGTCCCGTTTACTTGTCGCAGGGCAGTGGAGAGGGCGAACCAGAGTAGGAGTCAAGTTCTGTTTCCCATCAGCCCTTTATTCTCTCTGTCTGTAGAGTAAAGAACTTTGCCCAACCTCCAAGAAACCTCCGAATCTGGCACAGCATTCCTCTCCTTCCTGGCCTCTTGACAGTCTCTCCACTGACTTTTCTTGCCCCAGACTAAACAACAGGGACTTGCCCAGTGAGACCCCAACAGGTGGAACAGGGACCCATAGATGGGAGCTGCAGGGAGAATGTTTTGGCCTGTTGTGAGAAATAATTCTTTATATAATCAATCTGCTTGCACTTTTGGAAGGTCAGCAGGGACAGGGAGCATTGGTGAGGTCTAAAGCCAGGCCCACATAAAGAAGGGGCCAAGGTACCGGGACCTCAGAGGGGAGGCTGGAACCACAGAGGAGACACACCTGCTGCGATGGGGGCAGAGGGAGGGAGAGGATGCCTTGCTTCTATCTGTCCCTACCCTTCAGACAGGGCTCTCATTGGCCAATCCTACCAAGAAGCCAGAACCCCACCAAGAATGACCTGTCCTACCAGGATTTGCTCCTAGGAAGCCAGGAGGAAGGCAAGGGAGCCTGAGGACGCAGTTCCCTTGGCAACAGGGCAGGGCAGAGAAAGGCACATGCAGGACAAGCAGGCAAATGACCACACAGTCCCCAGGTGTGTAGACTCATAGCCTTGATATGGTTGCTTCTAGAAGTCAGAATTGCTTGCTAATTGGCTTTTGTGTGGCAATTTATTTGATGCCTGTGTCCCTACTAGATGGTCAAGTCTGAAGTGAGGACAGGAACAGCTGCCTTATTCCCTGTGGGACACCCAGTGTCTAGCCCTGGCTGAGCGTTTGCTGGCTGGATGTGCGAGGGAGGGGCTGCGAGGAACGTACTTTCAGCCCAGGTCCACGGGCCCCCAAGCCACCTCTCCCACCTCTCCTTCCAGCCACTGCTGCTTTCCCCATAAGGAACATGGACTTTCTTAGAGGCTGGCAGGGAGGGCTGTGAATGCTAGGTGCTATGAACTGAGGTTTCACCCACAGTAGGAAATAATACTTTCAGGCTTGTCTTTATTGAATCCAGAGTGATGACCTTCCTCATCACAACCAGGGAGGTTAGTCTTGAATAGAGTTTTTGTTTTAAGTGTCTGATCAGTCACATATTTTTTTTTCCATCATGAAGTTTATTAAAATTAACTTTTAAAAAGTAAAATTGCATATTTTTTTTGAGTAGCAAATACAGTCACATGGCTCAACTTCCAAAAGGAACAAATGAATATAAAGTTAAGAGTTTCCCTTCCATTCTGTCCTCCAGCCACTCAGCTCCCTTCACTGGAGGCAAATGATGATACCTGGTTTTTGAGTGTCTTTTGTGCCTAATCTATACACACACACACAAACACACACACACACACACACATACACCTTTTCCGTACAAGCTGTTGCATATTTTACACAAGGTTCTGTACCTTCCTATTTTTTTTCTATTAATTATTTTTTTTTATTTTAAAGACATGAGGTACAATTCAGGGTTAGGTATACAAATGTTCATTATGCAGGTACCCTTGTTGATGATGTACCTTACTCTTTGCACCTAGTATATCTTATCTTGGTGGTCTTTCCATATCAGATTATAGAAAGCTACCTCTGTTCTAATGTCTGCATAATATCCCACCCTATGGATGTATCATAATTATTTAAATAGTCCCTTAATAATGGACACTTTGGGTGTTTCAACTACTGGCTACTTACTATAGTGAACAATCTTCATACCATAATAATTTAGCTGCAAAAGTAAGTGACTATGGAATTTTCCAGGAAGATGGAGAAATAGAAGAAAATGTAATATAATGTTTGAGAAATAGTAGATAAGGTTCTAGCCTGGAAGTCAAGATATCTGACTTCTAAAAGTAATAGCAAAACTTCCTTCTAAACCCCTAGCTTCTCATAATTTACAAAAAAAACCAATTATCTGTTAACTCATTAAGTCTTTAGTGGAAAAGTAAGCTACAAAACGCTACGATGTTTCCCCAACTTGCTGACTCACTAACTGTATGACTTCAAATAAGTTTGTAGCTTGTCAGCATTCTTGTTAACTTATCTGTAAACTCGGCATAATTAAAGAACCTATTTTGTCAGATCATTCTGAGATTAAGTGAGCTACTCGTATAAAGTGAGTAGAACAGGGCTTATCATATAGCAAGGGTTCAAGAAATATGAGCTGTTAGAATCGCTTTTCAAGCGAGGAAGTGAAAACACAGAGCAATAAAGTATGAAACGTATTATCTGTTATAATATGGAGGCAGGGAGGAACACAATTTCCTAACTCCTGAAAGGTTGAGCTGATGCAGGAATCCAGGTCCCCAGGCCTCAAACAAATCATGCATTTCAACCGTGAAGTCTTAAGGCACATACCCAGCAGTCCAGACCCATACCTAGTAGTAATAGTTATTGCCATGGGAATATGCCTGATGTTGTTTTAGGGAATTAGTGTAGTCTTCCACTTAGTAGTATATCAGTGCATCAAATCCTCCCTTAAGTGTAAGAAGTACTGTTATTTTACAAACCACACAGAGGGAGTGAAGGATGGGATGGAAGAGAGGGAGAGATGGAGAGAGGAAAGGAGGG